TTTGTATGGCATCATAAAACTGCTTGGCTCACCTAGGTGGGCTGTGGAAAGGGTGGCTCTGTAGACAGAGAAGATAAGAATGGAGGCAAAAGACAAGGTCTGGGATGCGTGCCCCTCTCAGAGGGGAGAGTCAGACTGGACTTTCTGCTGTGTCCAACACAGCAAGACACAAGACAGGGCAAGGTAGGAAGGACAGAGTGTGCAAACAGGGTCCTTCATCTGGCCTGGTCCTGTCCAGAGGAACGAGGTGGGAGGAAGCCTCCCCAATATAAGTCACCCCCCTGGGGCTTAGGGGGTGTGTGCCCAAATATCTGCCTGGAAACATCTGCTAAACAGAGCTCCTCATGCCAACTCCTGCTTGATGGAAGCAAAGGGAGGTCAGTTGGCTTGCCAAAGACTGACCCCCCAAGCCCCTAAAGCTAGAGGCATCCCAGGGTCTGGGCTGGAAGCAGGAAGGCCCCCTTTTAAGGGTTGCTCATCATTTCTAGCAAGTCACCGTGCTTGATGGCACATTTCTGAGTCTGTCTCCTCTTCTGGGAATGGAGATAGGGGACTTGAGGGAAGAATGGGGAGGGGGAACAGTGCATTAGCCTGGTCTGAGATCAGAGACACCACCGACGATTTCAAAATTCGGTCAATAAAAATAGTAACATTCAATTGTTTTATATCAGAACCTTCATCACAGTGTTCAAGAAACTTTTCCTTCCAGAGATGCAGCATTCAGGATCTTTGACCTCTGACACATAAGAGCCCTGAAGGGCCTACAATGAGCAAAAGAAACAAGGTGAACAAACACCTGATTAGCATCCGTGGTAAAAGGGCCATGAGATGAATGTGTAGCTCTGGAAGCTTTTGGGAGGAAACAGGACCCACCTGGGGATAAAGGGAATCAGTCTATGATCTAGGCCTTGAAGCGTGGGCAGGGCTTTATTGGATGGGCAGCCACTGTACATGAAGGACATTTTGGGAAGAGAGAACCACATGAACAAAACTGGTGACTGGGTATGATCTAGAATACTGGGAACACGATGAATGGTGTGAAGGATTAGAAAATGCAGCCCACAGTGGGGAGTGGCAAGAGGGGATAAGTGGCGAGAAGATAAGCTGGTCCTGGCTAATATGATTGAAAGTGGCCCCATAAAACAATGTTATCTGAGAGCACTCTGATACTGGCAATGTTTTATTCTTACACTGTCCAATATGTTAGCCACATAGTAACTTAATGTAGCACAGTATGACTAATCGCTGACAATTTTCATTTCATTTTAATGTGAATTTAAGTAGTTAACATATGTCTAGTGACTAGCTACCTGTATACTTAAGTAGTCTACACTACCATATCTGGGAAGAGAGAACCATGTATCAGAACTCCGTGCAGCTATAGAACTTGCCACAATAACTTCAAGTAGGCAGGGAGCCCTCAAGGTTCTCACCTTTCAGTCCCACCCTCATTCCACAAAATCAAAGCTCTCATCCAGGCCACAGCTGTGGCTGTAGCTGTGCCACCAAATGAATGAGTAGTTGAAATGTTTGCTGCTTTCCAAGCTCCGCACCCCAGCATGGCTGTGTCTGCTGAGAGGAAAGGGCAGTTTTCCGAAATCTTACCAGGGCATCTTGTGGCCAAGCAGCTGTTCTGCTTCCTCCAGTTTCTGTCCACATGGCCTGTCCAAAGACAGATTCGGGCTACCTCTCTGCTTCGGCTTCCCTGAGCTGCCGGGCAGGTGAGCACACCTGAGGCCTGGCCTTGCTGGGGGATGCGGGGTGCTGGCTGTCACTTAGCAAGGTTTCCATGAAACGGGGAAGCCAGGTTCTCAGAATGGTTGTTGACATAAAGTTCTGTTGCGTAGCCTTGACTTTCCTCAAGAAGGTCCCGTGGCCCGCACTTGGGAGGACATAATAGGAGATGGCTGTATTTTCTCTAGTCTCAAGTGCAACAAAATACTGAAAAATTCGTAAGTCAACATATCCATTTAGAATATACTGCTCTGAGACACAGGAAGAATCTTCCAGGGTTGGAAGAAATATTGAATTACTACATTTTATTTTAAGGTAAAGAAACTTGGGTTTGAGGATCAGCACAAGTCCCCAGTTCTCTTGACTCACCCAGGCCCAGTTACAAACTGGTTAAAGTCAGCATTTTCCCACTGATATATTTTTTTAAATGTATACTGTGTTGGTCCATACATGGTTTGAAAAGTACTTTTGAATTATATGCCTATATAAAAAAGACAGATGAATTCACTCTGAAATCCCGATTAGCTCTCATTTCTGGGCCCACAAATCCACAAGGCTGCAGGGCCTGAAGTGAGGTAGGATCTGATCCTACACAAAAAACAGTGAAGGGAAGAGTTGAGAGAGGTCATTTTAGAAACCGACCATCCAGAGCCGTCAAACCACCACAAATAATAGAAGCTGCTTCTAACCATCTGGTTTGTAATTCATTATTGCATATTATAAAGACCTTGAATTTTAGACGAGGGCAAAGAAAATATATCTCTTAAGAGATCATTTGACTGACCTAGTTCATTTTACAATGGCTGCATGTGTCTAGCAGTAGTAAACAGGCAGGATTTGGTCAGCTCCCATGAATAATTGGGGGAACAAATCCCCAGAATGTTTCTTGTGGATTCATGTGTATTGAGGTCTCTTATTTCTGCATCAGTGCATGACAACGTAGCCAGGCATATAATAATCATTCAATAAATTAGTTGAATGAATATAGCAGTGGATCAGTGAGTAATGTCGAAATTGAGTGTGACTTCCTTGTACGTGTTTTCATTCTCCATATATCACCTCTCCAAAGAAATATTGATGAATTCTGACAAAATATCAATATCTCTGTTAGTTTGTCATCTGCTCTTTTATAGGTAGACGGGATATGGCTTTGATTTGAAGAAGTAATGAATCAGCAATGGTGTTATATTTTTCTTGTTATAATTTTCAATCTCATAAAGTTTTAATATTGTCATTGTGTAAAATCAAAAACTAAATAAACCTCAAATTCACTAGGTAGGAAATTGCGGGGGGAAACTGGGTGCTGCTGCCCCAAATCAAGGTGACTGAAAGTGGCCTTCTGGGCCCCATCTTCTTAAAACACCACGGCCATCTTTGCTCACAGCCACATAGCTGGCTTCAATGCCCGTGTCTTGCAATCCCCCAGATATTTGAGTGAAAAGTCTTTGATTCATTTTTCATTCCCCCTCTTATTATAGCTCTCTTATTCTAGGACTCCTTGGGGGGCCCCAGAGCTGTCCTCAGAAACACCTCTGTCCTCCATCCACTGTTACCCATTATCCTTGAAAGAGACAAATGCCTCTCAACTTTGCCTCTCCTTGGGACAAAGAGCTTGGTCCTGCAGGTAATTAGGTCCTGGGCGGGGAAGGATGCCCCTCTGGACCCTCCAACTTGTCTGGACCCAGCTCACGCTGCCCTCTATGTGACAGAAAAATGGCAACACATTGGAACAGGAAAAGAGACCGGTGCTTTGCCCTTTGCTGCTAACTGTGGAGTAGTTTGAGGATCTAGGTTAGCATTTTCTGGGCTCTACTTGACAGGAGGACATCACTGGTCTTGTGTACTGTCTGAAAGTGGGATTTGCCACTTTGATAGCTTTGCCAGTTGAAAGCTTTTTCTCCATCAATATCTAAGAGGAAAACTCACAGCAAAAAATTCTTTTTTAATACTTAATTGTCTCAAATGCACTTTGGGACAGAGGGGGCAATAAAATATAAGTTACCATGCGCCATAAATTATACCAATTACATATCTCATTAAATCCTCACAACAGCCTTGCGAGAATTTTATAATTCCCATTTATAGATGAAAATTGGAGATGAGAAAGTAAGGGCTTTACCACATAAGGAGCTGAGTCAGAATTCAAATCGAGGTTTGTTTTTTTAAAAACTACAAGACTAGTCTTCTTCTCCAGAGAAACTTCTATTTTCTTTTTAAATTAAAACCCCCAGCCTTCCGTGCATGTTATTGCCGGAGTGTCATAAAACAGCCCGTCCTAGTCTGAGCCCCGCATAACATACATGAGGCCGCCTGGAGAGCTCCGCCCTGAGCCACCCTTGCCCAGAGGCACCATCAGGGGCCAGGACAGTGGTCAGTCCATAGCAAAAGCCTCCACACCCCCAGCCCAAGGCTCAGCCTTAAACTTCTACAGTTCACTCTAAAGATAACCCAAGAGGTTGCAGCGCTTCCTGGTTGTTAAAACAACAACTACAGTGGCAGGATTAAGAACTACAGATCAGTGGGGTAGAAATGAGGAAGGAAACGGCATGTCAGATGACTGTTTTCCCCCCAAAGGCTCTGCTCTTTCTAGCGCCAGGACTTGCTTAGTTACAGTGGGAGAATTTGATTGCTCAAATACTGAACACTTTCTCTCAATGTCAAGGTTGCTCAAATCTCTGGGTGCTTTGACATCTGGGGTGCATGAGAACCCCCTCGGGGGTGTATGCTTTCTTCTCTGCCAGGCTGCTTTGACACAAATCCCCCCTAGAAAGTCTTTCCTCACACTGTCCAACGTGCATCTCTCAATCTTCTGCACTCCAGAAGAGCTGATCTTAACCCCCTCCACCCCTACTTTTGTCCTGTCCTGTTTTCACCAAATTTCTTGCTACTTTGATTTTTTCTCCTTCGCAGGTTCCCCTCCATTTCCTGCTTCAGGCCAAAGGACTTCCTACTTGCCCACTTTTGGGTTTGCTCTCTGGAAGGAAACGCCAGGGTGGTCCATTCATGACACCACATTCTTCAGGCTCAAGGGACACTCCTTGGCCCATGAAAAACTCCTCTCCCTGGGAGCCTTGAGATTTCCAGTTCACAAGCTGCCACAAGAGGAGAGATTGAGTTTGATGTGGTTAAGACAGTCGTCACTCCATCACTCCCACTCCGCCTTCATCCTTTCAGCCCCAAGCCACTCTCCTGTGCCTCACCCTCGCTTTCCATTTCTCTGGATTCGTTCTCACAGGTTCACCACTATCCCTCACGGCCTCAACTAGGATTACAGCTGGGGCCACAGAGCCCGTTTTCTGCTCAGCCACTCCCATCCAGGCTCATTACAGCGAACAAGAGAAAGAGAAAGCAAGAGGGAGTGGACCTGCAAAGACTGTTGTTACACGGTTTCCCGAAGTCCCAGAAATAGACAGCCAGACTTCCGACTGGCAGAGCCACTGTGCTAACCACCAGACCGCACTGCCAGATAAGAAACATGTTAGGTTGTACCCTATTTCCTTCATCAGCTCCAGTTTCTCAAATATCTTGAATTTCAGAAAGCCTCACCGTGATCCTAAGATTTGGAGAAGGTGGAAAGGTGAGGACAGAGGATCTGGTACAAATACATTTTCAACCACAGAAATGAAGAAACGACCATGACAGATTAATCACGAGCTAACTTTCTCAGGTGCATAACAAGAGAAAGAAATGAACTGGACCTGCATAGGCAGTAAGGAAGCTAACGAATCTGCAAGCTAACGAATGTGTCCTGGGATTGTTATTTGTGTACACTCTTTTATTGAGTGCCTACTGTATGTCAAGCACCATGCATAGAACTGTGGATTCAGAGATTAGATATCTCTGTGGAATGGGGGCTGAACTACAATCAGATTCACCTAGATTCCAAAACTTGAGCTCAGCACCACCTCGACCATGGAACTAATTTTGATTCACTTTCCCACAGCAGCCTCGGCAGGCAGCTGTGTTGTCAGCCGCTGCAGGAAGAGTGATGGTTGGGGTGTTGACAAGCTCCTAATTGGAAGGTAGGAGGTGCCGCCAGAGATCAGCCATAAAAGATATCTTTGGGCCAGGGTGGGCTGCTAATGCTTGCAAGGAAAGCGGGGGTGAGGTCGGCTGAGCTGTCACCCTGGGACGGGGCCTGGCCCAGAAGACAGATGATCCAGGCAAGGGGAGGCAGCTGACAGACAGGACCCATCTGGGGAAGACACCTTTTAAGGGATGGCAACAACAGCATGCAAACCATTCAGGAGACAGTGAGCATCTTGGGGTACGCACAGGACAGGAAAGCCTGTGGCCCAGAGACTAGGCCCAAATGGCAGTGTGGGGAGAGCAGCTGTGAAGACAAGTGACAGGAGAGATGGAAATTTTTTTTATTAGTCAATAAACCAACAACTACTTATAAGTGACTTCTATACACCTCTAACTGTTCAGGCCCTGTGGGTTCAAAAGAAGAACCAAGTTTGAATTTGACATCAAAGTAAATGGTGACTTAATCCATACACTTAAATTATTGCTGGGTAAGGGGAGACTGCATGTGTCATGCAAAATCGGTTCTTGTGCACCCCCTGTCCTGACTATCTCATTTAATCCACCCCATTACACTGCAGGGTGGGTTACCCTTGTCCCTGCTTTAGAAATGAGGGTGCTGAGGCTCTGGGAGGCTGGGTACCTCATCTAAGTTTGTCTGGTTGGTAAGTGGTTGGGCCAGGATTTAAATCCAGGTCTGGGAGTCTCTGAAATTTCTGGTAGGGTCTGCAGAATCCCTTTACTGGAATAACAAGTAGGTGCTGCACTGAACACTTGGGGGAAATTAAACACTTGTGCTGGTCTGCAGCACAGGAGAGAGTTTCAAGAGGAAGAGACAAGGGAGGGAGGGAGGCTAAGAATGAACTGGGTCAGAGATGGCTTCTTGGAATTGGTGGGTCTTGGAACAGGCACAAAACACTCACTGCAAAAGCCACAGCTCCACCTAATCAAACAGATAACCAAGTTACCCACAGGCCCAGCCTCTGAACCCTGAGCTTGCGACAGCTGCAAAGACAGCAACTGGCTTGACCAGAAGTTAGAAGGAAACATCTCCTCGGTGTTCCACCCAGGAATTGGCTCTCCTTTGCTCAGGGGCTTGCAGGCATCAGGGCAGAAAGAAGAGGTGGCACAGGCACCCGGCGCTGCAGTGCCAGGGCCTCCCAAGAAGGAACAGGTGCGGAGCAGGGCAATTAGCCCAGAGGGCGTCAGGGGTCCAGGAGCCCAGGTCTGATCAGGGAAGCCACCGGTATTACATCATCTGCTGGTGAGTAGGCTTGATTAACTCTCCAATGAATGGAGTATCATGAGGGAACATTTTTTTTTTTTCGTCTTCTTCAAGGAGCCAGAAGTGCTAATTAAATTTGTCTTTTAAAATAAAGCTATTCTGATGGGGACATGAGCCTTTAAGCCTCCCCCCATGGTGTTCTGGGCAGTCTGACTTCTCCATGAGAGGGAGGAAGAGTGTCTATTCATAGACTGTGACTTGGTCCCATGGTGAGTCAGACATGGTTTGAGCCGGATGGTTGCTAATGTCTTTGGGAGCAGCTAATTTACCCATCTAATTTTTTCCCCTACACCAGTCACATAGGGGGACCACTTGATTATTTTGATTGAAAAAAGAAGCCAGTGTTCATCATAATGTCCTCAGCAACTTGTGTGTGTGTGTGTGTGTGTGTGCACAATATTACTGACATGATCCTGTTCTTGCTAGCATTTTCAAACACATTCCAATTCTGAATTGAGGGCAAGGATCGTATTGGCATGCCTTGGAGCAGCCATGGCTCCGAGGCGGTTATCATTTTAAAGGTACCTCTTAAAAGCCAAGGTGCTCGGGGAATGTGGCCAACTGTTCCTACCACCATCAGGGACCAATGAAGGGGAACAAATATTTGAGAGTGTCTGCCTCGTGCTAGGGTTTCATATAGCTTATCTGGTTGACTTCTCACAACTACTCTTTGAAACTGGTATGGAGTTTTCATTGTTCCAGGCTCTTGTCCCAATAGCTGTGCTTAGAGAAAACCCACATTTTCCCAGGCCCCATCTGAAAATTCAGTCTTCTCTAAAGCCTTTCCCGACTTGATCAATCAAATGAGTTATGTTCTCCTTTGTGCTCTCAGAAAATCATAGAATTTAAGGAGTAGGCAGCCTCGGTTTTCTTGTCTATAATATAGGGCTGACACCAGGGCCATCATGAGGAAGGAATGAACTAAATCATGCAGGAGCTTCTGGAATGGCCAGCACTTAGCTCTCATTCTTCACTGTTAGTAACGATAATAATAATAATATCACGTAGATTGCCTCTAGGCAGGGATAGCATCTACTTTGCTCGTGGTTCTATTCCTAGGGACTAGGAGCACTTGGACCACGGGAGACCCTCCTTGTTCAGCTGCAGCCTCGGCTGCACCTGCCTTGTTCCTACAGCCAAGCCCTGGCCAGTTCTGCAGGACGGCCCCTGCCCTGGGGCCTACTCACCCTCTCTGCCCACATGTCCTGATGTTGAAGCCCCTTGAGTTGTGGCCCCTTCTTCTGTCTCTCTCCACCCCCATCCATTCCCAGATGCATCTTGAGTAACACCCTGCTCAAAATTCTTCGAAGAACTAGTGGTTTATGAAATCCACATACTTAGAGGCTAACATCCAGGGCTTTCCCAGCAAGATGCTATATTTACCTTTCTCACCCCTATTCTACTGCTCACCCAGAAATATTGAATACGCGTGGGTAAAGAGTGGGTGAAGTGTGCCACTTGCAAAAGATGACCGACGAGCCCAATGGTGCTCCCAGTGCACACTGGTGACAATGGGCCCTCCCCCAGGTCCCCGGGGTGACCAGAATGCCCCAGTCATGATGGCTACAGCTGTGTTACTAACTTGCTTCTGCCACCACACTGCCATGAACTCCATGATAACAGGTCTTCTCTTAAAGCTACGAAATGACATGTAATTTCTCAAATCAGTTTTTTTGAGTACTCTAATCTCCTTGAGTTCTGCCCCTAAAGGCCTGCACCATAACAAAATGCCCCCATGTCTCCTGTATTGGTTCTGAAAGGAGATGCAGGCTCCAAGTCATGGATTCCCACCTCTGCCTGCCTGCCTCAAGCTTTGCAATCCCCTAGCCCCCCCGACCCCCTTGTTCAATCTGAGCTCCATTCACAAAGGATTGGTGCCTGCACAAAGGGCAGATAATAACCTGTGGCCTGCTGGCCACAGTCAGACAGCAAAATCCAAGACAGTGCATTTCAACCAGCCTGGAAAGTGGGTGCTACTGCCCCTTAAAATGGCCCCCGTGATGGGACTTATGATGGGCTGAAAGGCTGGCTAACTTGGGGTTCTCTTCACAGGAAGTACTGGCACGTGGATTGATACCTGCCACCATGTGGGTGTTGGAGAAAGGTGACAAGAGAGCCTAGCCCAACACCAGTACTGTGAAATATCGTGCCAAAGGCTATGCATTCCCCAGTACAGGATGCTGACGCAAGGGCAGCCACTCATGGCTGTGGCCACAGGTGACCCCCAGCATTAAGATGAGAAGCACCAAAATCTGTTGTAGAGTCCAAAACCTGCAAATGGTATCGTGGAAACTTTAGGCCATCACATAACTGGCTATTCCGCAGATGGCCTCTGTCTGGGGCACCACATCCCTCCTCAGTGCCAGGACACTGAGTAGTATGGCACCCACAGTATCAGCACTGTCTGTCAACCCTTTTTCTGTCGTATCATAGGCCCGGCACAGTACGTTATCCTGAACAGCCATCAGGAAAAACAAAAAGGAATCTGGTCTGTCCGCCTGTGCCCCCACTCCACAGGTCTGCCCATCACCACATTACAGGCTGTGACCACAGCACAGGCACCATCACATCCCACAGGATGACCACCTGGTTACCTGTATCAGTTGCCGTCACTATCACCTACCCACATGCCAGGGCACAGGCATCTTCTCTTGGAGATGTGCCATTTGGAATTTACCACACACCCAAAAGGTGAATACTAGACAGACTTCCACAGTTCTAATGTTCCTCTCTCCCCATGCTCCCCGCTGTGCAAAATAAACCCTGTTCCCATTGTGGTAAAAGATCCCCCTCCCTGGAAAGCCCAAAGATAGTCCACTGCGTAAGTCTATCCCCAGGCTAATCTGTAGGTGCACGTGGTCAAGGCCACATCCGAACAACCAGAACTCATACAATATTGATAACACTCTGCCCCCATGAGCCAGCCACCCCCTTACTTGCGCCATGTCAGATGACTCTGAGTTCACAGAAAAGGCTCACATAAAACTACCACTCCCAGATGCTACTGGTCTGCACCCCCTGGTTCACCCTGTCCTCGCCAGGACCAGATGTGGAGGACACTGATGCTGTCAAGCCTGGCCCTGGCCAGCCACGCCCCTCTCCAAATGCACTTGCTTGTGTTTATGTCTTCTTAGGCACCATGCCATGCTGGGGGAACTGGCCCTCTGCTGGCCCAGAGAGCAAAGGAACAAGAGCTATTCAAAGCCCAAAAGGGGACCTGCTTCACCCAGGCCTCTCCCCTAGCAAACTCCCTAAACTCACCTGCA